AGCCACGGTGCCGCTGTCCCGCCGGCCGGCGCCCGGGTGCCGCGCGCGCCTCCGCTGCCCTCCTTCCCCCTTCCTTCTCTCCGCCCCTCGGTGCCGCCGTCCCCCGGGAGCGGAGCGGCGGAAAGCAGGTGCCACGCCGATCACAGCGTAATTAAGGGATTAATCCGACACCACCACCACCAACCCCCCCTCCCTGCCCGACGGCCACTAGCGGGCGGGAGGCCAGAGGCGCGCGGCGCGAGCTGGAGGCCCCGCCCCGCCCTAGCCGGGCTCGGGACGCGGCGGAGAGTTTCCTTCCTTTCTCAGAGCGCTCAGAGGAGAAAGGAGGCTCCGTCCCACTCGGCCCAGCCTGGCTTTAGAACAGAAATCCTTCCTCCCTTTTCCCCGCCCTTAGGGAAACTGAGGCAAAGCCCAAGATCCCTCCTCTAGTTCTCAAAAACCCTGGATTCCGTGCCTCTCGGGTCCCGGGATTTATCCGCAGAAGCGCGGGAGACTGGGGTGGTTTGGCCGGGGGGGTAGGGGACGGCCAATAACATGCGCGTCCTCCCCTCGCCCGAAGTCACCGGGTTTTCAACAGAGCGGCCAGGGGATGAAGTGAAGCGTCTTGACCCTGATCTAGCAGTTTCTGTAGGAGGGAGGCTGGGACAGAGAGAAAACTGCAGGGAGACAGCCCCGGGACACCCAGGCAGCTCGCAGCGATTTGCACGCTTTTGCATTACTTTGCTAAGACGGGTTTTATTAAATTGTTTCACCTTTTTGAGGCGACTGAAGGGGAGCCAGGGAGTGAGGGACAAAGAGCAATACTGTTTCTTTAGAGAAGTGCAAGAGAAGAGATGGGTTAGATGCAAAACTCTTGCAAATCTGTTCAAACCTGAAAACGTCCTCCGGGGACTGGGGGACATGACCCCTCGCCCGGTCCCAGCCTGCTTCTGACTTTTCTGGAGTTCTTTTTACCTGAATATCCCCCAGTTCCCCACCACCACACACACACGAACACACACTTTCCTAGGCTGGGGTGGTGTTGGGGTGTCAGGGGAAGAGAGAGGGGGCCTTCTTAACTGGGGTTACGCCCTGCTGATGGGTGAGTGGCCAGGTTGTCGCTCCCCCGCAGGCTGTGTGATGACATCACCTTCTGCAGGGCAAGAAGGTGTGCAGGTCTAGGTCCAGAGAAGTGGGTGCTGCCCAGTCAGTCTCCAGAGTAATGAGTCAGGGGCTGGATATCTCAGGCAGACAGCCGTCAAGTGAACCCCACGCTTTCTCAATGGGCAGGGGACATGTCCTCTCTCCATCCATACAGCCCCTAGGGCCTCAGACTAACCGGGGTTTAGGTGTCTTCCCACTCCCTTGACTCAGCTCTGCGGTGACTTCGCAGAGCCAAACACCAAGTGCTGGGGGCTTGGGGGCGGATGGCCCCATTGGAGGGACAGCACCCTGGGAACAGTTCTTTCAGCGCCTCCACTGGTGCTGGAGCAGAAGTCTGGTGTTCACAGAGGAGAGTTGAGGTAGGTGGCAAAGGGGCTAGTGCCATCTCTCTTCTTTGGAAAGCACCAGTGTACTAAGAGATGGCATTTGACGCCTGTCCCTGCTCCAGGGCCAGGTTGTATACAGGTAGGGGAGATGGTAAGGGGTAGATTTGGAATGACTAACCCAGAAGCGAGTTCCAATCCTATATTTGCCAGTTAGAAGACATCCCCGCTCTGGACCTCAGCTGCTCTGCTTGGAGCCTTCAGATTCTCAGTCCTGGGGCCTCTGCTCCATCTCCTGCAGACCTCGGTCACCTGGGCCCCATCACACCAGAGGATGAACCAGGACAGAAATCCAGGGTCCTGCAGGACAGGGAGGGCTGCCGCAGACAGGAAACCGTACCCTGCCATGTGGCTCCTGCCCCATCCTAATCCCCTGATTTGCTCCCCATCAGCCTCTCAGCAAACACAAGGCATGCCAGTGTCTAGGGGCTTGTCACCCTGTTAGCGGATTTGTTCGCAGAGACGTCGCAGTTAATTGGCCTTTTATGTGGGGATCAGGGAGTATTTGCTCAGGGTTCCCTGAGTGGAGGCTGAGACTCAGCCCCTGGGCGAGGCTGGGCAAGGCTGCTTCCCGGTCTCCATCTTCTGGGCTTGGGTTTGGAGGCTGGAAAATGGTGGGGTCACTCCTTCTTTCCAGGACTCTCCTGGCCCAAACCTCCTATCCCTCTCCTATACCTCACACCATCTCCACACCTTTCTCCTCTCCCCACTTTGATTCTTGTTTCTCTCTGCTCTTTTCCCCTTTGTACTTCCCTGTATCTCTAGAATGTGCTCCCTTTAAACCAACTCAGGCCTAAGGCCAAAGAAGGGTGGAGCACTCACCTGGGCCTACTGGAGAGTAAATACCCCCGCCCTGAGCCCGAGGCCCTCCCTGTCCTACCTTCCTAGAAACTGGGCCCCGTAGGGGGTGGGGCCTGGCAGGGGTCTCAGCCCCCAGCCCTTCAGTCCTCTCTGCTTTCCTGCCCAGCGCCTCTGCAAGTCTAAGTTTCTCTGGGCGCTGCCCACAGGCAGTTCTGGAAGGACTGTGTCTCCCTATCTCCTCCCTGCCTGCCCACTCCCCTCAAATTACCCAAACGACTTGCCTCTGCCTCTTGCTTAGGGAGGGCGGGTGGCTCCCTGCCCCTGTCTCCTGTGTCACCCTGTAGCCCACCGGTGCGTGTACAGCACCTGGAACTCGGGATGCGCACTGTGACTGCAGGGCCCTCGTCGGGGTTCTGTGCAGTTGACTTAGAAGTTTCCATATCAGGCTGGAGGAAGAATCAGAGTTGAGTTCAGAGCTTTCCCTTCTGCTGCCTCAGGACACTGCTTCTTCTCAAGGGTTTTATCGATGACAGTCTGCATTCAGAAAGGGTAGAAAAGAGGGAGGGAGGTTCTGAAGGGGGATTGGCAAAAAGAAGAGAGAGTCGCGGGAGGCAGGGTGACGGGAGGGTTGAGTCTGTGGAGGTAGAAGGTAAGTTCATTCTGATAGTGTTAGGGCATCTGGAAGAAGTGTGTGTATCTGTGTGTGCCTGTGTGTGTGTGTATGTGTGTGTGTGTGTGTGTGTGTGTGTGTGTGTGTGTGTGGACAGAGAGAACAGTTACCCCACCAGGCCAACTTTCCTGTCCTAGTGCCAGCACACTGGCCAGAGAATGTAGCTGGGAATTTTCAGTGCCCAAGCTGGAAGCCGTATGGGAGGCTTTTTGGTGGCCCAAAGCCTGCATGCCAGCTGGTCGTGGATGAAGCTGCTGGCATGTAATTTCCCAGGAGGGCAGTCAGAGGACAATCCCGCCCCACCCCCCATCTCATACTGATGACTGCCACTGTCTCTCCCCAATACACACACACACACACACACACACACACACACACACGCCCAGTCCATTTACATCCCCCTAGAGCCTGCACCGTCCCGTCACTCTCTGCCTGGACCCCTTCCCAGGGCACTGATACACACTGAGCATATGCGTGTATTTTGGTGGCGGTGGAGAGGGGGAGACAAGGAACTAACATCTGTCCCCCACCCTCACTAGGCTATGCCTGTGAGTGGCCAGCAGGGTTGCTGGCTTCAGAGTTATGAAGCCAGGGGCAGTGACCAGCCAGCAAGGGCCAGAGGGCCCAACGGGAGGGGGGATCAGAAAGCAAAGAGCAGGCGCCCGCGGGAAGGCAGACAGCAGGAGCCTGCCCCCGGCAGGAGCCAGGGTTTGTTGGCTCGACCCCTGTAGCTGCTGAGGTAATAAGCCGGGGCCCCCTGCCCAAGAGTCCCCCCCTTTCCCCACGGGGTTCCAGTGGAGGAGCCTGTGGGGAGACACTTTGCAAGTCACTCCAGCCAGTCTGGATTCTGGAAGCAACTGGGCAGAAGTCGGCACATCCTCATACAGATGGAACAGTGGCTGCAGAACAAGAGCGTCTTGGTTCCTTAGATAAAACTCGGTACAGCCCTGGCTGGCTGGGCTCAGTGGTTAGAGTGTCAGCCCACAGACTGAAGGGTCCCAAGTTCGATTCCAGCCAAGGGCGCGTACTTCAGTTGCAAGCTCGATCCCCAGCCCCAGTCGGGGCATGTGCAGGAGGCAACCAATCCGTGTGTTTCTCCCACATCGATGTTTCTCTCTCTCTCTCTCTCTCTCTCTCTCTCTCTCCTTCCACTCTCTCTCTGAAAAGCAATGGAAAAAATATCCTCAGGTGGGGATTAAAAAAAACAACAACTTGACAGAGCAAGCGATCCCTAAATGTTTGTTTAGTGAAAACATCTATGAGCTAGTCAGTCCTTACAGCTGCCCGCAGGGCCCCCGCCTCTCCTTGCTCGTGCCAGTTTCTGAGA